TTTATGCACTTTCTGTGGTTTCTTTGATGATTTGTGGTTTCATTCTATTGTGACCTGGTAGGATGCAATAGATGATTGAATTTCTTTTTGATTTACCTAAATATGCTTTATGACCAAACTTATGGTCTGTTTTGGAGAATGTTCTGTGTGTTGATAAAAAGAATCTGTGTTCTGCTGTAGTTGGAGGAAATATTCTAGATGTCTGCTAGGTCCATTTGTTTCATGGTGTGGTTCAACTGTGATATTTCTGTATTGAGTTTTTGCTTGGTCACCCTGTCTGTGTGAGTGGGGCACTGATGTCCTCTGTTATGGTTATGCTGGTATGTGGTTCACCTTTTATGTAAACATTTTTGTTTTATGAAATTGGGCACACTGGCATTCAATGCTATGCATATACAAGGGTTATCTCTTCCTGAAGAATTGTTCCTTTGACAATACATAATGACCTCTTTCATCGCCTCTGATCAGTTTTGGCCTGTAGGCCAAACTGTCTGAAATTAGGACAGCTACTCCTACTTGCCTTCAGAGTCTGGTTGGAGTACCATTTTCCATTCTTTCCTTTTTAGTCTATTTATTTCTTTGTGGCTGAGATGTATCTTGTAGGCAACATATAGTTGGGTTTTGTGTTTTGATCCAATTTGTATGTCTTTGTTTTTTGACTGAGAAGTTAAGACAATTTACATTAAACTTTATTATTATTGATAGGTATTTACTGATCTCTGTCATTGTATTTTTTTTTTTTAGTTTTATTCCTATTTTCATTTGTTAAAAATATCGCCTAAATTAGATATACTTTTTCTTTTAGGCTCACTAGTGATGTTGGTTTCATTATGTTTGGAATTCATCTGAATATTTTCTGCATGTTTGTTTGGTGGTCATGAATTTCTTTAGATTTTTTTTGTTGTAAAATCTTTTTATTTCTCTATCAATTTTGTGGGATAATATGCAAGATATAGTAATTTGAATTGGCAATTGTTTTCTTTTAAAGCTAGAAAAATTTCACCCTTTCCCTTCTGTCCTTTGAGACTTGTGTTGAAAAATTTCTTGTAATTCTGATAGGCTTGGCTTTATAAGTTACTTGACGTTTTTCTCCAGTGGATTTTAATGTTCTCTTGCTCTGAATTTCCATTTTGACTTTGAAAAGTGTTGTGGAGAGGTTCATTTTTGATGATGTCTCTTTTGGCTTCTATATGTGTCATTTACCTGACTATACATTTCATCTCTAGAGTTATAAAGTTTTCTGCAATGATTTTGGTGAATAAATATTTTACTCCTTTGGTCTCCTTGTCTAGCTCTTCTGAAAGAGATAGCTTGAGAAATCAGCATTTGGGGAGTTATAAAGTTTTTGTGGCATCTAATTTCCTGCTTTCTCATAAGTCCTGTGTTTTTGTGTTTAATGTTGTAGATCAGTAGGGTTAGAAAGCTCTGCTACTATACTGGAATCTTTAGTACAGAATTGCAAGGAGAGAAAAATTACTGGTTATATCTACATGCAGACAACCAACCATATCATTATATACTTTGGAACTAGTTTCTCAGTTACCCAGAAATAGAAAGTATTAGTTATTGTAGAGAAAAAGTTGGTAGATAGGGAAGACAAAAGAGAAAGGGTTTAATAAAATAAAGTAAGTAAAAAATTAGGATAACAGAAGGAGACTAAAAGGAGATAAAAGCAGAGAACAGAAAGAAAATAGATTTTGACATTTTTATACTCATAAAGAAGGCAGAAGAGAGAGGTTTGAGAAGATATAAGTAGAGAGGGATTGAAAGGAAGAAGGGGAAGATTTATAAGTTGAAAATAAGACTGTCTTTATGGAGACTGTGTCTAATTGAAAAACTAGCAGAAGCCAATGTGAGAAGACTTACACAATAAACTTTGGGGAGGGAGAATTTAACAGTTCAATGTAAAACACCATGGAAACAAAAATGATAATCAGCACTCATATACAATTGTTCATAAGCATCTTCCTTATACACACTATAAAATTAAAATATAAAGAATAATTAAGTTTTTAATGTTAGTTTTACATATAAGAAAAAGAAAGGGATGAGTGTGGAGATACTTGTGATGTTTTGAGAGAGGAAGAGAGAGAAGATAATGGGGTTGTATTTTTAAATGAAGAGTGAAAGAGGATATAGGGAGATTGAATCCAGTTAATGACTTAACAGACATATTAATTTTAGAGAACTTATGAAACACCCTTTGGTGATAGGGAATCTAACAGGAGATGTTAAGTTACTATAGTATTTAGATTATACTTAATAGTTTATGCATAAAAGAGAGGGATAAATAGAAAGCAATAAGATAAAAGAAAAAAATTAAATATTAAATAAGGGAGAGGTGCCTAGAGATATCAAAAGGTATGAAGGGGAAAATGATAAAGAGAAGGAAAGGATGAAATTGTAGATGGGAAGATAGAAAAGATATAGGGTGAGTGTACATAATTGTTGAACTAATAGGCAAACAAGGTTATATAATAATAAAAAAGAGTCTTAGAAGTGGGGATATGTGACTTAACTACATGGATGGTTTTAAAAGCAACAGTAGAAAATTTGTACACGTAGCTATAACCATACACACATACACATAAAATGACTGTCACTCAAAAAGAATCAAACAAGGAAAATAAAGACAACACACACAAAAGCCAAAAACCGTACACAGGGTGCTGCATTCAGGGTCCTCTGGCCCTCAAGAAGCTAAGGAGTTGTCAGGGCTTCTCTGCCTTAAGGAGGGCAACATAAGCTTCTTGGTTGAGATTCTGCAGCAGGTTCTGCCATTTGCCCTGCTCAGCTTGCCTCTCTCAGCTTCCCATGCTCTGCTTTCAGTTACATTCCAGTTCTGCCCAGCCTTTCTCTGGACAGCAACTTCACTGGTCCCTGTGGTCATCCAGGAGGCTGTATTCCCAACCCATGTACCATTTCCAAGGCTTTTCTCTGCACCTTTTACTCCCCGGTCATAACAATACTCCTCTGGCTCTGTCAATGTGACCTGGGATTTTAGAGCTTTCTGGGGTCCAGAGGCACTAAGCTCCTTAGGAATTGATCTGGATTATTTATTCCACTCCCAGTGATCATGCATCTTCAGCTTCACAAGAGAGTATTTTTTCCAATTCAGGACTCAGAGGAAGAGAGCCTTTCTGCATGAAATTCAGTAGTGTTTTGGGGTCAGTGGGAGAGAGCTCAGACTCAGTGGCATTTGGGGAGCAGTGGGGGAGAACCTGATTTGTCCCTGCTCCAGTGTCTTTTCTCAATATCTGGATTTTACCAGTCATGGCCACTGCGTGTCCCCAAAACTCTCACTGTCTCATAGATCCATCAGTGCCTGGTTCTGGGTCCCTGTCTAAGACTGTACCCTTTGCTTCTCTCTGTCCCTAGGGGTTACTGGTCCTAATTCAGACAGTGCCCTCTGAGTAATTTTCTGGATTGTGGTTTTCTTTGTGTTTTGATGGGAGGAATCCCTCTTTTCTAAATATCTCCCTCCAGGGCTCCATTTCCCAGTGAAAGGAGAGTTAGCTAAGGTAGGCACTGGGAGGTGGCTGTTAGGCTGAGTGCTAAGTGATAGACCAAGAACTGCTGCTGCACTTGGTTTCTTCCCTCGGGAGATTTGATCTTGTCTCTTGTCACAAGAAAGAGTGTTCATTGGACCCAGGTTGTAAGCTGTTCCAGCTTCCAGGAAGGAGTCCTACTTCTTATAAACACCTCCACTAGTAGATTTCATCAGAAGGGGATCTCCTTCAAGTGATCTTCCTGTATTGGGTTTTGGTTCAGCCCTGTCACAGTTTCAGTGCCTGTGGCCCTTGGTGTTTCCAATCAACTCCTGAGTGTTGCTGCTTCTAGGCCACAATGATCTCCTCTCCTGCCTATAGTTTGTATGTTAAATGTCCTCCAAAATCTATGGGTTTAAAGCCTGGTTATCATTCAGTGATGCTGTTAACAGGTGGTAGAATATTTACAAGTATGGCCAGAGATGGGAAGTTAGGCCATTGCGGGCACGCTCTTATAGGGACTATTGGGACTGTGGGTCTTTCCTCTCTGTCTGTAATTGCTATCCAGTCATCATGTGGTGAGCAGCCACCTCTGCCTTGAGCTCTCACCAGGATGTGCCAGAAATTTATAAATAATTTCTATAAATCATCAGGAAAGGGCAATCAAATAACAAGTGAGTAAAAGCTATGAATAGTCAATGCACAGAGAAAGAAACTCAAATTGCTAATGACAATGATTTTTGCATCTTTTCATGGTAGTTTTAATCAGCTTCATGCATGAAGGGTGTGTTCTACTTGCAGGCAGAGTCTTTCACCTAAAGGAAAACTGTGCTTTGAAACCTGCAGGATTTTTTAATGAATGCATCTTAGTGAACTTATGAGGTTAACTATCAAGTAGTATTGAAAAATGGATGTTTAAATGTATATTAGGAAGCAATATACAAGGCATGTGCAAAGTAAAAATGTAGGTTTGTACCCCTCATGTATTGTCTATGTGGATTTAATCTTCATTTCATCCATAACACTTTTTATTTTTTCAAAGTAAAAGATACTTACTAGTAATCTCATATTAAAAGTGAGCAAAATATAATGTTGACAATATTTATAATTCTTTAATTCCTTAAGTGCACTTCAGTATTACAAATACCCTTTTACTTCACATTAAATTATCCAATGGATAAGAATCTTAGAACACACTTAAATAAATCATTTTAGTTTAAAATGCCATTTTAATGACATTCCATAAAAATAGGCCAAATATTTATTCAAGCAAGTCTTACTTTAAATTTATTTTCCTTTATTTAATACATAAAATCAGGATTAATTCAATAAAATATTTAAAATTCATTTGTAATTATTTTACTCCAAATAAAATTTCTAGGAAAATTTTCTTCTTTTGTAGTACTTAAGTATAATTACATTTAGTTTGTTTTACACAGAATCAGAAACAGTTCTATCAGATACCATTGCTGAAAGAAATGTTCAAACCTAGTGAGCCCAAGTGTCCCAGAGCTTGACTTTGTCTGTTTGCTTCCACTCAACTCAAAAAGCCATTTATATGCATAGTATTCACAGTGTTCAGCAGAATCCATGTTATCTATTTTGCAGACTTATTGCTGTCAGCCAGGCATGGCCAGATGACTTCTTACCAGTAGATGTCGGTGATGCATGTGGCTTCTGGGCTGAAGCTGTAGATCACAGTGGTGCTTTCTCTACATGCACTCTTTCACCACATCACCTGGCCCAGTGGGGAGGTCACTGCAGGGCTCTGAGGATTTAGGTGGATGGAGAAGATCCTGGAAATACAGAGTGACACAAGCCAGAAGCATGAAGGCAGGGCTTTGGTTTGGTTCACAATCTTATCCCCAGAATCTACAGCACTAGCTAGCCTACAATAGTTGCTTAATGATTGGTTGAAATATAATTTCAGTTGAGAAATTATAAAATATTTAATCTCCTTTATTGAAATACCAAAACATTTAAATGATTTTTCTAGGGTCTTTTGCAGGTAGAACACTAGAGGTGAAGCCGCCTTCTCCTATCTACATTTAGCTGACCGAACTTCTTCACCCCTGCTGAAGTGTGGTCAGTTTTGGGCACAGATGAACAGGTGTGGAGGAGGGAAACATATTGTGTAGGTGGTTATTCTTATACTAAAATGTCTTCACACACTCTGAGCCAAGCAGACAAATATGTATGACTACAGATTTTATGCCTGTAGATCCTATGTATGCATGTAGATTCTTCAAAAACTTCTGAGGATCTTCATTGTACTTCCCGTGGTATTGGTGACAATGTTCCTCTGGTGCATTTCCTTCACAACTTTTCTTGCATTGGTGATTTATTCTAACTAGACTATCATTCTTTCAAGTAACTGTCATGGAAAGAACTAAAAAATATAAGGTAGATCCATCTGTTCCTACTTAGCCCTACTGTAATCCATTCAAAAGTACCTTTGTGGGACTGCAGTTCAATCCATGCTTTCACTCAACCACTGAAGCAGGTGATCAGCTCACCTCTCATGCTCTAGTTTTCCTAGATTTCCATGCAATGATCTGAGTGGCTTTGCTGGAGGCCACCTAACTGTCCTCGGGAAGAATGTGGCAGTGCCCTCCTCTTTCTGCTTGATGGTGGGATGAGAAGGGCTGGAATCACACAACACACTTTGTCCAAAGAAGTTCTACCTCCAATTCTGCCTTGGTGTCAACATTAAAGTTGTTTATATGTTTGCTATTGGTGAGGCACCTCAAAGTTGTATAGCCTAGTTTTTGATTACTTATTTCTGAATTTTTATGGAAAGACATCTTAAAATTCACCATGGTATTTGATATTTGTAATACTATATTTGAGTAACGTCATTGAAACTTCCAAATTTGCTTCCTTATGTTTTTATATACTTAGGTTTATATCTATCTCTGTAGTTTTGTCCCTATTTGTATTCATATTTTGGTTCTCTGTTGTTATAAAGTAAATACCAAATTAATATTGTGAAATAACAACTTATTAACCCACCTCTCATTGTACTGGGGTTGACTGGCCACAACTAGGCACTTTTTCTCAAGACGCTGCATGTGGCTGCAAGGGTGAAAATCCTTGAAAGTCTTCCTCACCCATATTTCTGATCCCAAGAAAGATTAAAACAGATGGAAGATGAAAGAGGTGGAGGCTCGAAAAGGTGAAGTTCCTTGGGCATATTTCTTTACCTTTATGTATTCCTTCTGTAGGCTTGCTCAGCATGAACTTCTTTCATTGCAACTCCGAGTGCCTACAGTATATATACGTCAAAAGATGGCACTAGATAACATTTGTGTTACCTAATTTGGGGGGGGGGTATGGGGAATCAAACTCAGGACCTTGAGCTTGAGAGGCACCACTGAGCTAAATCCCCAGCCCCTGTGTTACCTATTTTGACCTACCCTGGGAAGTCACAGAGTATTATCTCTGCTGTATTCTATGAATTCTAAACCTAGACAAGGCCATGGGCAGAGAACATGGTTTTGATCTTTTGGCAGAGGATGGACAATTATTATTCTAAAAGTACACGTGGGAATAGAAGTACTGTGGAGCCTGTATTAGTCAGAGCTCTCCAGAAAAACAGAATCAATAGGATGCATACATGAAGAGATTTCTGATAAGGAATTGGCTCATAGGAGAAGCTCAGAAGCCCTGAAGATCTTTTGTTGGCAAGCTGGGGAGACAAGAGAACTTAAATTACAACTTCCAGTCTGTGTCTGAAGGCCAGAGAACCCAGAACAACCAGGAAGATCAAGTGTTGTTTCAGTCCGAGTGCTAGCAGTTATAAAACCAAAGGAAAAAAGTTTTGGTTTGAGTTCAGAGGCAAGAAAGCCTAATGTGCCAGTGTGAAACAGTCAGTCCTCAGAAGTTTCCATTTGCTCAGCCTTTTGTGTTTCACTTAAGTTTCTAACAGACTGCATGAGGCCCATCCAGATTAAAGAGTACAGTTTAATTTGCCCTGTCAACCAATTCCAGTGCTCATCTGAGGCTAAAACTATTCTCACAGTCAGAAAAATGTTTAACCAAATGTCTGGGCATTCTGTGGCCCGATGAAGTCAGCATATGAAATTAATCATCACAGTCTTTTTTTAAAAACAAAATCTACCACAATTCATATATCCAAACAACAAATTGTGGAGGATATGAGAAATTCTCCGGCCCTCAGGCAGACTTGGGAAGACAGATTGTCCTGATGTCTGTGGCAGGCTGGCTGTTTGTGGATCCCACAGTGTTCATTCTGCTGTGGTCCCTTGAGACTCTCAAATATTTGCTTGGCATAAGAATAGATAAGAGTAGCTAACTTTTTAGGAGCTTTAAGTAGCCAGGATGATTTAGATAAGATGCACTAAGATTAAAGGAGCATAGATGGTTCTTTAGATGCTTTATGTACTCACAGATATAACTGGTGGTTAGTTGACTAGCATTGTAAATTGTTAATGATTGATGTATCCTACAGAAAAATGTATAAAAGAAGAATATTACCAATAAACCTGGCCTTAACTCCACACAGAGTTCTGGTCCCCCATGCTCCTTCATTTAATAGGTTTCATCGGATATTGTCTTCAGGTTCGAGTCTCCCACCGAGGAGACCCCAACAAGTGGCGCCCGAACAGGGACCTGAACATAACCGGCTCAGGCGGTATCAACTGTAAGAGAAACTAATAACGGGGTTATGGGGAAAGCACAGGGACGTGGTGCTATTTTTACTGCTTTAGTTCATCATTTGTTGAAGACACAAGGTGCCCACGTGTTTTGAGCTTGTTTTGAAGTTTGTTTAAAAGTAGTAACAATACAATCCTTGGTTTCGTGATACAGGAACATTAGAAGATAAGACTTACATAAAGGTTAAACAAAATGTGGAAAATGCTTTGCAACAGGAAGAGAACGTCCCCCTGGACTTGGCCTATTTGGGCTCTGATTCATGTGGTAATGAATCCATTTTCATCTGAAAGGACGTTAAAGAGGGAGGAAGTTTACAATTTGGCAAAATGGTCTTTGCATGAATACGAAATATCTGATGCAGAAAAGGATAAAGTTAAAAGTCAAAGTAAAAATCTGTTTCCCTCTCCGGGGTCTATCTGATGGCTCCTCCGGAGGATTTGATTTCATTCCATGATTCCCCAAAACCTTTAAAATTGGGATCGAGGGGTTCGCAGAGGTGCTCTTCTAGCTTCTCATCAGATTCTGAAAATTCCGATTCTGATCTAATTCCTGATCCTGACTATTCTTCTGATATTATTGAGTTTACGGCCCGAAAACGGTCTGGAGGCTAAACCAAAAGTAAAAAGAGTTGCTCGCGTTAGCCATCGTGTTTCTGATTTGTTTGCTAAAATTGCTCACATAGAAGGTTCAGACAATGATAAGCCTTTCCTTTTTCCTGTAATTAGACAACCCAGAGCTCAAGGAGGTATTTTGCCTAGATATGAAGGGTTTGATATTCAGTTATTACAATCAGTTAAAAAGGCTGTTATGATGTATGGACCTCATTCTCAGTTCTCTAACGAAATGTTAAATGGGTTTGCGAGATCAGTTGGAAATTTTATTCCTTATGATTAGATTATAGTAGTTCGAGGTTTATTAAAACCAGGTGAATATATGCAGTGGCATATGTGGTATAGAGACTTAGCTATGCAAAAGGCCCAAGAAAATGCAGCTCTTAATATTGGAATAAATTATGAAATGTTAACAGGAACAGGACAGTTTGAAGATGTTGCTCAACAAATTACATTACCAGCTATTATTCATGATCAATTATAGGCAATTGCTTTGGAAACTTGGGATCGTATTTCCCCAGAGGGAGAACCAAAACAAAGTTATGTTAAAATATATCAAGGAGCTAATGAACCTTATTCTGAGTTCCTTGCCAGATTAGAAATGGCCATATCCAGAGGAGTGGTTGGAGAACAGGCTTGCAGACAGAAAGATTGCTGGCTTTTGAAAATGCTAATGAGGGTTGTAAAAAATTATCCACTAAAGAGACAAGGAATATTTGGGATTATTTAAGTTTGTCAAAACATTGGCTCACAGTCTCATAAAATAAAGATGCTTCCTACTGCACTTACTGAGATGACCTTAAAAAATGGTTGAGGTGGATTTGCAGTGCTATGGGTTGATTACAGCTCCTGATAAAATTCAAATAAAACCCCCTTATCAATATTTTGGATATATTATAAATCAAAAACAAATTATGCCACAACTTATGAAGCTGGATTTATCTCATTTAAAAACATTAAATGATTTTCAAAAATTATTAGGTCATATTAATTGGATTCTCCCATCCTTAGGAATTTCTACTATGGAATTACATAATCTTTTTAAGATATTACAAGGAGATTCAGATCTAAACAGCCCTCAAGAGTTAACAGCAGAAGCATAAAAGGAACTTGAATTGGTACAAAAGAAAATAAAGGAACAATTTATAGTTAGGATAGATTTATCTAAACCTTTCAATTTAATAATTTTGCCTTCTGAAGGTACACCCACTGTATTAATTGCCCAAGAGGATCAACCTGTGGAATGGATCCACGCAAAACATACACAAAAAAGAAACGTTCCTTATTATGATTTAATGTCTCTTCTTGTTTTTCAAGGTTGATCTCAAATCCATCAGCTCACTGGAGCTGAGCCAGCAGTAATAATTTTTCCTTTTAATTCTGAACATTTTACTAATTTATTAACTTTATCCACAGCATTTCAATTATCACTTTATGCATATTTTGGTCAAATCAGATACCA